ATCTACGAATGGAGTCCAGACAGCACCTATCACCTGAATAATCTATGCGTCTATCCTTCTACCTTTATAAGAACTCCTTAGAAGGGAAAACAATTATAATTAGAACCCACATAATACCTGAAGAGACTCAATGCATGTTGATGCGTCAGAAAATTGCTCAGCAAAATGAAATAAAGTAAGAAGAACTCCTGACTTCCATTCACATCCATTGAAACCTGAAACGACTTCAAGAAAGAGTGTCAAATATTATTATGAGTTTATGGTTGGGACAGTCGTCACAATGGAACAGTCCAAAACCTGCTGATGTCTCATCCGAAAGCATATTATGTACTTTCATTTGAGGAGGAAAGGTAGAGAATGCAGCTGTCAGGCAACCTATTGCGGCAACCTATACAAAACAATTCATTATATAGGTATGTCATTCACACGACCAATTTTTAAAGAGAAGAAGCTTGAATACAGGGAAGAAAGTTATTCAGTAAGTTAAAAGGCAGAAGCAATTTAAAAGCCTGAGTTCCCAGCTTAGCATAACCAACCATCTACGTCAAATGTGGAAAGATTTAATTGAGTGAGGAAAATGTGATAATCATTGGGGAATTGTATTGGCATGGCTTAGTAAATGGGGTCGAGAGCTGAGAATCCTCTATTTAAAAGAGTCTCATCGTGTGATCCTTTCTTTGGTTGACTGAATAAAGGAAGATCTTTAGTTGGTTCTTACCACACCACTTTTTTGCCTCCATGAACAGAAACTTCAGATTAATAGCATTACGAAACCAGCGGAAAGAAAGGAACTCGAACATATATTATTAACAGGATAGGAACTGAAAACATAAACAGAGACAAAACTCTCCCCAAAAGAACCCTATACCCTTGTCAGGAAATCTCAATATCTTTCTCCTCCTATTGCTTCCCTAAGTCTACAAACTTAGGTATGTTACTAAAATTAGTCTAATCCCATGACTCTAGCTAATGGAAACTAGGATAGTCCAAGATAGAAAACTAGTTATGAAAACGTGAATTCATATCCCATCATAAACCAAGACAACAAACAGACAAAACAACATAAGGAAAAGGAAGCACTAACCAGTAGACCAGATTTATCATTTTTGAAAGGAAACCCCTCATTAATCCTAGCATGCAGAGACATTATAACTTTTGGCAGCAATTCTCCTGGCATTCTCGAGTAACTGAAAATGAAAACAAATATTAAAGAACACATGAAAATATCATACAAGATACCAATGTATTAGCAAATGTTTAACAAGAAATAGCATCAGCTAAACGGGAGCTAGGTCTACGCGTGTTCAAAGATAAACCTTAATCAGGGGCCATTAAGGTTTTGTTATGACGGATATCACAAAAACACATACTATTATAAAGACACAATATTTTACATTAAAACTAATATCATTAACCATGACGAGCACAAAAGATAAAACACAGAAGAAATGTACGTACGGTGTGCTTGAAATCAAAAGCAAGAGGATCTTGAACAGCTGCATCAACAATCTACCATGATTATCACAGTGGATCAAATGTAGAATGCCTACACCCATATGAAAGGGATAAAATCTTGGTCAAACAAGGAATAGCTATTAGATAAATCAGAAGAAAAAGTGAAAGAAAAATTAATGTCGTTGAAGTACCTGTGTGGAGTTGCATTAATATTAGACCAAGGGAATTTGAGAGGGGCATAAACGATCCATACTTGGTAGATTCCTTGTACTCTGCCACTTGAAGGAAAATAGATGAAGGCCCATCCATCATGGTGGCAAGAGCTGATGCAGATGCTATCCTTACCTAGACATGGCAAATAAAACAAAAAGTATTGTCAGGATTCAGCAATCACGAAGTTGAGCCCCAAAAAAGATCTCTAGATATATTTAGAAATATTTTCTTAACCACAAAAGATGTTGAGAATCTGAAATGGAGAACAACATGGAAATATAAGCATCAATGACTTTAAAAAGTGACAGGAATAACTACCTTCAATTGAGGATCAAATAGCAAGCATGTCATTAGAGTAGCTTCGAACTTCCTGTTAATGATCTCGGAAAGTTAGGAGACAGGAAAATATTACAATACGCTAACAAAAGATGTTGTAGGTAAATTTTCCACCTTGGCTTGAGTACATCACTGGTTGGAATGAGAGCCATCCACTGAGTGGTAAATGACTTTGAATCAGCTTGGCAAAGATCCTTAACAGAAGAATAAGCAGTTGTATAAGTAAATTGCCACTGAAAACTTAAGGGAAGATGAAAACCAACTAAAAGGAATAAAACATTGTTACTCACCTGTATGCATACAATCGCAGCTATTCTAACCTTGGAGCTTTGTGCACAATAAGAATCCCTTATAGATCCGTCACTGTCACTAAAATCAGAATCTGATGATATAACATCAGCACTAGCAGAATCATGAGCAGACAGGTGCCGCCAATCATAAGACACTGGCAGCTTGGTGTTCAAATCATCCCTCTTGCGCAAGTGAGGTGGCCTATAAGGTGCATTTTTGGCGTTCTTACTTACTCCAGAAACCAATGTGGAAAGCTTGGCATTTGACTGCTTATCCTTGTGAACAACATCAGAATGAGAGAACTGAGGTGGGCCAGTAAGTCCAAAACAGAAAAACAGTCTCAATGCAGCTATGAAACTTGAGACCTGCAACATTACAAGTGCTGCTTAAACAAAGAAGAAAAAAATTCTGCAATTGTGGTTCAAACCAGAAAATCACTTATCTAAGGCTAAGAGGAGCAAGGGCTATCAAGAACCTACTTACGTGATCAGAAACAGGAGATTTGATATTTGTAAGGACTAAATGCACACAGTCTAGAAGGCATGAATAAAACCTGCAGAAAAAACAAGAAAACAATATTAGCTAAGGGGAACAAAAAGTCTTATACACCCCAGGAAGAAGAGTGATTTGTATTCTCCACAAAACCAAAGGCATATTTAAAAGGCCCTTGAGACGTACCGCCACATAAATCGATCTTCGACAACCTGGCCCTTGGATGCTAAGACGTCCATTACTTTCCTTAAAACCTATATCAGGACGCACCAACTTGAGAAACAAAGCATAATAGAGCGATGAGGGTATGTGAAGGGGATTACCTCCAGCGTGGATTGGCAGACATGGCTAGGAAACAAAGACTCAGACACAGAAAATGCTCCACCAAGCATGTCAAAGGCAAGGGCCATGGCATCCCAGAGGCTAGGCAGCTTCTTTTCGAAATCTAAAGTAGGGTCTTGATTAGAGAAACCATAGGATGAAAGTAAGTCGTGGTGTAGTAACGGAATTATGCGCAGAAGAAACTGGACAAGGTGAATGTTGTCTGGATGGGAGCTATTTAAACGTCTGGGAAAAAGGGAAGAGGTTAGGAAGAAAAACAAAGGCCAAGAATCAGAGAGTGAGCTGATATAACCTTAAAGTCTCGAAACATTGGATCACAGGTTCGAAATATGCAGGGGAATAGAGGGAAGGCATTGGTTGGCGCAGAAGAAACTCCAAGACACTAGCAAAAGAGTGAACAAGGAGCGGCCATTGTTGGAGAAGAACACGAGCACAAACATCGTGTATCTGGTGGTTTCAGGCCATTAATAAAATTATAAGGAGAGGGCAAAAGGAGAAAAGATGAGGAGAGGACGCACCAGTTGACAAGTAAGACGAGACACAGGGATCCAGGGAGGACCATCAGCTTTGGAAACCAAATCGAGCAGGAACAAGCAATCGGAAGTGAGTTCGTGTGGTGGGAGGAGAGAGACGGCAGAGAGAATGGAATTGGAGTGAGAGAAGAGTAGATCCTCAAGCAACAGAGGAACCGGCGGCTGTGGAGTGGTCGAGATTTCGTCCCTGAGGGAGAGAAACGCCGTCCGCCACATTCCCGTGCTTGACGCCGCGAACATGCCGATCAATCGGAATCGGAGATGTATGCTCGAGGAAATGACACAGTTTGGGCTCATTTAGTTTATTGTTTGGGCTCATTTACTTGGTTGGGCGAAGAAAATTCCTTATCTCACTTTTTTTCTAGATAAAGCCAACACAAGAGCTTCATCATGATTCTGTTTTTTCTTTCTTACTAGGGTAGTAGAGTGGATAGAGTAGGCAAGCGAAAAAAGATGCCAAAAAAAAAAAAACATAGCGAAAGGAACTAAATATCTAGTTTCGTGATCATTCTGACATGAAACGAATAAATACATATCATACGTGCTCAAAAGAACTAACAAGGTTTTTAAGAGGAAATGACAAGGTTTTAAGAGGAAATGACAAGGCTCCAAGTCCTCTTATGTTTTGGGAGGAAACACCTGATCCGCCACAGCCTTGCTTGTTCCTTCCTCTTCCATTTTCATATTTGCTTCCTCCATTCCCACTGGGTTTACTCCTGTAACCTGCAACCACACCAACCACTTTAGAATACCATTCCCACCCTCCACCCTCTCTCATGTCAATCAACTCACCTTTGTGCTTCCACCCTCGTCCATCCCTGCCTCAAAACCTTTCCCACGCTCCATAACACCTTTCAGTCCATCCTGCACAAACACCTCATGATACACAAATCACTCACTCTCGAGAGGCAGAGATAATTCAGCTTAGCTTGGCAAGCATGTCAAATGTTCTACTCAAGTCACTTGTTGGACCATTCAACTAGCCTAGGCTAAATAAATGTATTGGATACTAGCTGAAGATTCACTAGCTTCGAATGAAACCATCTCCACCTAACCATATAAATTGAGACTGAGATTCATTCTGGACTATTTAGGTTTTGGGGTCTCGGCTGAGAAAATGAGTGTCTTGGTGTAATATTTTATAAAAGAGAAAACCCACTTCTGGAAAATGCTCTCAACCTAGAGTAATGGCTTTAAATGTTTGTAGCAGTGTTTGAGCAATCAAGGCAAGTAAGAGATAATCATGCATTACCTTGTCCTTTGTATCGGGTTCAACAGCTTCTCTTTTAACTCTGCTTGGCATAGGTTTACTGCACAATGGGATGGCAGATTAAGTAAACACTACCCCGCTGGCATGAAAGTTGAGGGGAAAAAAACATATACATCCATACCGGTCATCGTCTACATCCATGTCAGAATCCGGATCCCATCTTTTGTCTCCATCTTCTTGATCTTCATCTACCTGTAATAAACATAGAAAGAGTACTTCACAACACTAAGATTGCAAGACCGAACATTATTCATCAGCCCAAATTGTAGTCACACATAGATAACCCAACTAAAAGCCATGAAGAATGCAGGAAAGAACAGGCTACCAAAAGTAAAGCAACCAAACGCACTTCAAATGATTTGCTTCAGTTACATACCTCAGGAGCCTCTGTATCTGGTGGCCTTTCCTGAAATGGCACACTTGGAGCATGCTGAAGCTTAGAGAGATTGTGGAGAAGGTCATTACGAATCTCTTCAAGCATCTGGCGAGAATTCTTATTTTCCATGTTACTAGGAGCAACATGAAGTGTATAGTCTGGACCAAAGTATTCATAATATTCGTGCTCCGGCATCTTGTCATCAACTTCAACTCCAAGGGCAACTCCAGTCTGTAACATAAAATAAACAGTTTGTTGCAATAAATTCATGTAGAGTATCAGTAGAAAAAACAAAAGCCAAACAAATCTGATAACTGTTCGAGACAAAGAGCTAATCATGGTACAGAGACAAAGCAAATTTCAATGCAAAGCTTGAGCAGCATAAAATGAACAGAAGAAAGTACCTCGTAGCACCAGCAACGTGCAACATTGCGGATGGTGTAACCACCACCACCCAAGAGCAGTAGGGGAACATTGAAAGATCTCATAAATTTGACGCACTCAGCATGACCTTTGATCGAAAGATTAAAGCATCCCAACCTATCGCCAGACAGTGAATCAGCACCACATTGCAATACCACGGCACCTGGTCGGAAAATTTCCATCACTTTTCCCATGATCGGCTTGAATAACAGATGATAACTCTCATCATCAATTCCATCATCCAGTGGTACATTGAGAGAATAGTACTTTCCACTTCCATAACCAATATCCTGTATATGGCCTGTACCTGGAAAGTAATCCCCAAATTTATGGAAAGAGACAGTCATGACCCTGTCAGTTGCGTAAAACGCCTCCTCCACTCCATCCCCGTGGTGAATATCAATATCGACATACAGAACGCGCTGCAAACAACAGAGGAAGAGTAAGAGATCCAGAAGCCCAAACCAAATACATTAACATCTCTACATATATCATGGGCAATGAGAGACGCCACAGGAGACAAACCTCATGCTGCTTAAGGAGCTCTAGGATAGCTAGGACGATATCATTGACATAGCAAAAGCCAGAGGCCTCGCACTTCTTAGCATGATGGAGACCACCAGCCCAGTTGATGGCAATATCACAGAGGCCATGGTTAAGCTTGACAGAGCCACCAACAGAGCCACCGGCATAGGTCTGGCAAAAAGAATAGAGGCCGTCAAAGACGGGGCAATCTTCACCAACATTGAAGCGCTTGAGTTGGCGAATCTGATCTTGCTGGGTTTCAGGGGTAATGCTGCGTAGAAAGGAGACGTAGTCATCAGCGTGGAAGCGGCAGAGGTCACGGTCGCGGGCAGGGAAGGGCTTGAGAACCTGCATATGCTGGAGGAGACCGTAGTGAGCGAGAAGGGCATGGGTCATGCGGATGCGGTGGGGTTTCATGGGGTGACCTTGGCCATAGTAGTAATTTCCGACCTCTGGGTCATAGAAATAGCAAACTTTCCTCTTCACACCATCAGGTCCGGACGCCAGCGAGTTGCCGCCACTATCCATTCCCACTGAAATTAGACCTAGGAAATCTGAAGTAATGATTAACTAAGCAAAAACGAAACCCTAGGAGAGTGTTCAGTACCACAGCCGACGAGTTTACTATGCTATGAGAAATGAATAATACAGTCAAAAGGAAGTGAGGATACCAAAAGGAAGCGCCTAATCTAATGAAAGGGCAGCGACGAAGGAAAATGGAAGAACGCAGAGAATGAAGAGAGACTGACCTTTTAGTAGGTTTGGATCAGCTGAGTATTGTAATCAACAGGAGGGAGACGAAGCTGCAAC